TTTCTCTAGCGCGATGTCGAAAGCTCCAGACCTTAAGCCCTTCTGGAACGCGATGACTGCCATCCTTTCATCCAAGGACGCTATCCTCAAGGCGACCTCATTGAACCTTTGCAGAAAGTCCTTCAACGACTCCTCCCGCTGCTGTTTGAGATCGAACAAGTCCGACGTGATCGGTGGTTTCTTCTTGTTAGCGGCGAACTGTGTCATGAAGAGCCGACTAAAGACATCAAAGTCGGTGATTGATCGGTCAGGGAGACCACTAAACCAATCCAGTGCTGCTTTTTTGAGTGTACCCATGAATAGTTTGCAGCGGACTTCCATACTTCCTCCACAAATCAACATTTGAGCGCGGAAATTCGTCAAGTGCTGACTGGGATCCTGAGTTCCATCAAAAGGTTCGACTTGGGGAATCCGATGATCCCTCGGGATGGTCTCGGCCTCTATGGCCTCCGAAAAAGGTCGAAAATCCCTGGGGACTTCCATCATGACATCTTCCTCCACCGTCCTGGCGTTGGCCGTTATCATAGCCTGCATCTCAGCCTCCTAATCTCCTCGTTTTCTCGTTGAATAGCCTCCTCTCTCTCCCTGGATCGTGCATTCTCCTCCCTCAATCCGTTGATCAATGCCATCATCTCCTCCATGGTAGGTTGTTGTGAGTCGTTGTTGGATGTGCTGCCTCTCGCCATGGTAAAGTGCGGGTTCTCCTGTGTTACTTGGGGTGTAGGAAAAGTTTCACCGTAGCCCCACGGTGGGCGCCAAAATGTTCCGGCCACGAGGTGCACTAGGGTTTTTTCCTAGGTCAGACCTCAAAGCCAGAGCATTCAAGAGTGTAATCTGCCTTCTCAACTCTAGGGTTTTTTCTTTTATAGTTTCTTGTTTACGGGCTTTATGGGCCCCGAGAATGTAGGGATTTCCTTAACCGTTTTGATCTGGCTAATATTTGGTGAGGGACAGTGGGACCTTGCCCTTGCTATCGGGTAGTCCCTGTATGCGAGAGTTGTGTCGGCCCCCGACCGACCATACCCGTACTGAGGGTACAGTCGGGTATTGGCCGAGTTGGTTCTTGTAAGCGGAAGGAATCAGAAATATACCGACCAGGTTAAGTAGAGAAACCAAGTCGAATAATAACCGAACCACTCTTAGAGGGGTGATCGGCGAGAGCTACAGTCGGCCTGGCATATCGGCGAGAGCTACAGTCGGCCTGACATATCGGCGAGAGCTACAGTCGGCCTGGCATATCGATGAGAGCTACAGTCGGCCTGACATATCGGCGAGAGCTACAGTCGGCCTGACATACGTAGTAGGCAGGTCGGAATCCGACCTGGACCATACAGTATTCTAACTAATTTTTTATATATAAATAATATACTTTAAAATTAAAGAAAATATCTTTTTATTGTTGACAACATTTTCTTTAAATAATCACTACATCGTATATTAAAAACAAGCAAACACTTCATCAATAAAAGAAAGTTTAGGAAGAAAAGCAATAAATATAAATAAATAAATACAAAGGCCATCCCAAATTACTTGAAAAGTTGAAAACAAACAACTGTCCCCGGTTCTAACTGTTCATGGTAAACAGATTTTGGCGTTGAAAGTAAACTGTGTTTGGATTCCCGTTGATTTCAAAATTGCGACAAATGTAAAATATTCTCTTCATAACTTTCTTTTCCCTGCAGGTCAATAAGCTAGCTCATACTGCCTCTAAAATTCCATTACACTAGAAGTAAAAAAAGGTAATTTTTGTTTCAATCAATTTCATTTGAAATCTTCTTTCGGAAAGTAAATAATCATTCAATAAAAGTCTATACTAATTAAAATGAGACCAGGTTCAAAGGTCTAGATTCAACCATATTATTTCTCTTAATTGATAAATATCTGAGATTAGTCAACGAACGGCATCCGAGGGAAGTTACAGCAGCGTTCAATAAAAGTAGGAGCTGAATTTAACTTTTTTTTAAGAACTTTCAAACTGTGTTCTAGGTGCTGCAAGTTTAACCAGGGAAAAAAGGCTTTGAGAAGTTGAGGTATGTCAGCATTTGTATCCACGAAGAACTTAAGTAGCTTATATGAAATTTCGTTCCAGTTGAGCAAATTACAAGCCAATTTCCATTGAGATGCGTCGAGTGTAAACTGAGAGAGCATCCTAGACGCTGAAATAAAATTAAGTTTCAATAACAAAGAAGCAAAAATTGTCACTGTAAAGTGTTAAGCTTGATGAAATAGTCAACCCATCTATTCCAAATCAATCAAATCAGTAGCTAGTTTTATCACGCGATACAAGATATCCTGCAAAAATCTTTTACCAACTTTCTTTTACATATCTGAAGTTCCTATAATACATGTCGGTCAGACAGAGGAAAAAGAAAAGGAAAAGCATCGTAAAGAATAGTTTGACTACTAATGTTGGGGTCCTTATCATCGTAGGATTTGATGCTAATCTGGAAGGAAATTCTACCACTGTTATACAGGGTGACCCGGTGCAAACCTGGGAAGAATATTCATCACAGTTCACAACAGCCTAAGGTGACCTGAAACCGTAAAAAAGAACACAATTAACTTTTCACTGTAACATCATATATGCTGATCTAACTCTGGTAACTGCCAAGCGTTGCTAGGATTATAATCCAAAACTAAACAAGGACGAATCATATAAGTGAAAAATTTAGATATCTACAAGTGATCCTTAGAATCATACCTTCAATCCAGTAATAGTTCTGAAACAAGAGCTAAGTGACATATCATCATGCTGGCACCCAACAAGATGAAGCATACAAAATGCGACCCTTCCAACCTTGAAGCATCCAGTTGCAATCTTCATCAAAGACAAAATCCTTGTGGTACCATTCCTTTAACTTGCCCCTAAATTTGGCCATTATCTCCTTATCCAGCGGCAGCTGCTTAAAACCAGCTCTAGTATTCCTAGCCTGCCACTGTTTGTATGACTCGGGCCGTTCAACCCTCTCAAGAGCTTCACATGCTACAACATTCATGATCTCCCGACCCGAGAATTCTCTCTCAATCATCAACCTCCACTCATTTTCACGGGATATGAGAGTGTCAAACATATCATAAATCGAAGAGAAATGGAACAGTGCCTCCCTGAAGCGCGTGACAAAGAAAGGGGCATTATAAGATCCATTTACTATGGCGTGAACAAAAATATCCGGATTCATCTTCCTGATTAAATTCAGAACAGCATTTCTGGGACTCTTCACCTCAATTGACTCATCAAGCAAATTCTTAAACCTTATCAGACAGTTCACAGCAACCACCTCATTGCTCTGTATTTTAAGGTCTTCAATTTGAATGGTTTCCCAGTTTCGTGATGCTATGGCGTTGTACTCAAAAGGAACATTGAAACGCTCACAATACTTAGCTAGACGACGGCCGGTCTCCTCAATTCTTTCAGCCGGACGAAAGCCAGCTTGGGGATACTCTATTCCTGTGATCCGCAGCTTGGCAGGCCCTCCACTTCTACTTGATAGAAACCTGATAAGAATTGGCCACTGGAAGCCATACAGGATACCAAAATCAATTATATGAAGCGTTTCTGCCTTTTCAGCTGTTTTCAATATCATTTTATTTGCAAAGAAATGTGAAAATTTCTTGAAGGGGCAGGCAGATATGAAAACTTGGTAAGCTTTCAGGTAATCAGCAGCAGTGAACTTCTTGTGGCTCATGTAAAATATCTGTGTTCCAGTTCCAGCACCAACCAAGCGTGCCTCGAGACCATTGGCCACATAATGAGCCAACCTCTGGGAGGCATCACCCAAGGGTGTAGAATGCTGCCTAATCTGCTTCAGCAATTCATTAGCAGTCCTGTTGTCACTGGCAGACACAGCCTGTGCACACAGAACCAATAGGGTCCTCAAATCCACCGTTTCCTTCTTCTTCCCTTGCTTCTTGGAACGAACCTTCCCTCCATCAAACACATGGGTTTGCTCACTCTTTGTGCTACCATCACCCACTGCCACGGGTCCACTCTTGTGTTCAGCACAGAGTGGCACATTTTCAACACTCAGCAACACCCGATCAAACATTTCTGATATTTCACTCTCTTCCTCAGCACAACCTGCGGACTGCTTGTTGCTTCTTCCCCCTTCTTCTTCATCTTGGCGCGCGTGATTCTTCCTACTCTTCACCCCATGTGAATTATTATTCTCCATCTTCACAACCACCCCTCCTCCCTCTGGCTCTGCAGAGACCATGGTGGTGGTGGTGGTGGTGGTGCTATTGCTCTCCAACCCAGTGAAAAGTTGAGGCCTTTGAGGAAGAAACTTGCTAGCCTCCTCCAGCCCTCTTCTAAACTGCAACATGGAGTCTGCATCACTGAAAATATTTTCCGCCATCAGCTTGCTTGCCGCAGAAGAATCTAAATCCAAGACTCCATCGTTAACTCCAGTCAAATCATGCGGTGGAACAAGAGAAGAGGAAATGAAAGCATCAGCAGCAGCAGAAACAGAAACAGGTGTGTCAGGTGAATGAGGCTTCAAATCTTGAGAAATGGCGGAATCAGTGGTGGAATTTGAAGAATTCCCATCGGGGCTCTCCAGAGGGTGCTGATTAGGGGAAAGAGGAAGCGCTGGATCCAACTCCAAGACATCGTAGAAGGATTTCTCAGTGTGTTGCAGAGTCAGAGGGTCGTAACACATGCAGGGTTTCTGGTCAAAATTCTCTTCCATGAGAATTTGACTTATGAACTTGAAGGTTTCCGTAAAATCAGTATCTTCCTCGAGGGGAGGATCCGCCACCGTGGCGGCGGAGGAGGGGTCCGGGTTTAACATTGAGTTGGCAGAAAACCCAATTGGCCCCACATCGGATTGATAAGAAAAGTCCCAGTTCCCTTGATGGTCAAAGGCGTAGTCGGTAGCAAGAGAGTTTGGATCCATGTGAAGTGGTCATGCAGGTGGTAAAGAAAACAAAAGAAGCACCTGAAACTGAAAGGTAATGGAAGCGAAGGAAGAAGGAGGATGGAAAGTGTTTGGCGAAAGTCGTGAAAGAGAGTTATTGTTGGTGAATGGTGAGGTCTGAGGTGGGTGTTGAGTTAAATAGGGATAGGGATACGCCTTCCTCTTCCTCTTTCACGTCTATCTTCCACGAAGCTATCAGCTATCAGCTATCAGCTATCAGTATGAATAATTTTATTTTTATACATCCAATCAAACCAACACCGTTTCCTTTTACTCCCCTGCCTAGTAAACTTTTATTTTTCTATTTTTCTTTCTATATTTTATATTTATCTTCTTTCATTGTTTTTTATTTTTTTTAATTGAGTATTAAATATATCTGTGTTTATTTTCATCTGTTCATAAATTAATTAAATATTTTTAAATAAATAAATAATAATTATAAAATTATATTAATTAAATTTATTTAATATATTTTTATACAACAAATATATATATATATGTGAAGAAAGATCCATTTACTTTAAAAGTTAGCTTATTTAGATTTATTCTATTTAATAACCCATATTTTATATTAAATTTCAACGATTCAATCGTTCAATTTAAAATTCTTAATGTTAGATCAAGTTTACAAATTAAAAAAAAAAAAAAAACTTGAAAATCATCTGATACTTCGTTTCATTAATTCAAATTAATGTTAAATTAGTTTTATGATTATCCGTTAATTTAAATTAATGAAATGAAGTATTAAATGATTTTTAAATTTTTTAAAAATTTGCAGATTTGATCCATGCATTAAAAACTTTAAATTCAACAATTGAATTATTAAAATTTAATGTAGAACATGAGTTATTAAATAGAGGTAGCGTAAAAAGACTCTTCTCTCTCTACATACATACATACATACATACATACATACATACATATATATATATATATAGAGAGAAGGGATTCATTTATTGTAAGAGTAAACAGTCTAATATATATATATATATATATATATATATATACTTAATAATAAATTGTCTTAGTTACTTCAAATTGTACACAATTTTAAAAAACAATTATCTCTTTCTTTTTTCTTTCAAAATAAATCATTACATGTCCTGTTTATCAAGTTTTTATCATGAGTTTGAATTACAAGTGTAGGATTTAATGATTGCTATTTTCGGGATAATTTAAGGTCATTTTTAGCCAAATAATGTTAACCTGGAAACACCCATTGTTAAGCATCAATTACACCATCAGGCAACGAAGTTGGCACAACACTAAAGGGTTGCAAGACAACCACTTGATGATTCATAGTCAAACTCTCACGCCTCATAATTCGCAAGGTGATTCTACTATTGCGAGACGTCTTTCTTAAGCCATTTAGTTTAACTATCATCCGACAAATATGGGATAACGTGATGACACTTTTAGGGGACAAATGCTCCCGCCTTAATATTCACACGGCTACCTTTCAGTCACCTTGTAGATGTTCTTGAGCTAATGGAATCGCCCAACAAGATGTTGTACTGCTTGACGAGCTTGGACAAGACAATGTCCATTTATTGTATCAATTCAGATCATGCAGCAAATGAGTACAACCATAGGGCAATATAATTTTCCTTTTTAAAATTTTTGTTGATTATGTTTTGAATAAAATGGAGAGAAACAAGAATGTTAAAGACTTACTATTTTATTGTTGAAAGAGCATAGTAACAAGTTGTTGCATCTTTCCTTCATTCTATCAAACATCTTTGTGGTTGCTCATAGGAATGGGTAACTAATTTTATCATTGTTGGGGTTAGATGTAATAGAACTTATTTTCATGTATTTTATTGTAATGAATATAATTGTCTTTGTACTTCAATATTAGTATATTTACTTTTGTATTTGATGTTTCCTATGGTTTGATTTCTCCTGTCTTGTTTTATAATTTTGATTATCATTGGGAAATGTTATTTTAACCTTGAACTAAAGTAATATACTCAAGAAGTCTCATTTTAGAAATAGATGTGAGTCTTTAGTATCTTGGAAAAGTATTACTTAATGCAAATCACTTTATTAGATGATAAAGAGATTGACAATAAATAAAGTGATCTAGTTTTTTTCCCCCAAGGCATTAGAGTTAATATATTCCACCTCTTGAAATCTTATGAGTTTTGTAAAGTCTAACCCTAACATGTTGCTTTATATATGAAAACACCTTGTTATTACTTCTCTAACAACCTTAAATACTATTTCTTTTAGATAAACTTTATTAAGTAGAGTTTATGAACATGTGAATCTATTTATTAATTGTAAAAAGCTATAAAAGAACAAAACTCATATAGATTGCCAAATATTATGCAAGTTTTTAAAAGATTGATCCTCTACTAATTTTATAATACTTAAACAATTTGGTTTGCTTATCATGTCAATGCCATGTCATTGGACCACATCACTTCTGGAGTGCCATACCATTAGTTCATGTGAGTTGTCATATCATCATCAAAGTGTTATCAGTCTATATCAATGTTATTATCATCATGTCACATTTTAATTAGTAAAGGGGACTAAAATTGTATAATATTAAAAGTTGAAAAACCAAAATTACTTAATTAAAATAAGTAGAACTAAAATTATAAATCAAAGATAATATGAGACTTAAAAGTGTAATTTATTCAATATTAAAATATATAAAAAAAAACATGAAGACATTTGATTCATTAATAACTTTGTTAAATTTTATAATAATCTTATTAGAATTTATATAAATTATATTTTTATTAGTTGTAAGTGTAAAAATTTTAAAATGACAATGTATAATCATTAAATTTTTTTATATAAATAAATAATCTCTACATTAATTATGTAAAAGAGTTTTATATTAGCTTTTGATGATAAACTTTTATATATATACGATAAGTTTGTTGACTTTTATTTAAATAATTTTAAAATATTAAATTTTTATTTATTATAAGTGTAAAATTATTTATATTAATAATACATGACCACTAAATCCTTTTACATGAGATAAATTGTATATTGTTGTCAATCATAATATGTCATATGAAAAAATAATTTATATATTTAAAATTGTAAATAAGTTTTATATTATCATTCAATCATAACATGTCATGCGTAATATGTTTATTGATTATTATAATAAATATTTTAAAAGTTATATTAATATGATAATTTTTTATTGGTTATAAATGTAATATTATTAATACTAATTATGAAATCATTCAATTTTTTCATATATCATCGAATTGAATGTTTTTATATTAGTGGTTGAGTGTTTGAAATATATGTATGAGGGCTTAGATTTAATTTTAATTGTTATTATTATATTTTTTATTAATTAAAATATTGTTTAATTAAAATTATTTAAAATATACTTTTAAAAACATTATTATAAAATTAATAATTTTATGATATAGAATAATTTATAAGTAAAGAAATATAAAACCCTTTTTCACTATAATAATTATAATCAGTTTTTTTTATATAAAAATAAAAAGGTGAAAATTAATCTTGGTCCACAGAAAAATTCGGAGTGGTCTCTGTTTTGTCTTTTGCTGTGGTCTTTCCAATTCATAAGGAATTAAAAAGAAAAAGAAAAAAAAAGACTAACTAAAACAAAAACTGTGAGTAACAAAATGTCAGCTGTGTCAAGTGTCAACTTTCTGTTCGCCAGACATAGCATCAAGTACCGATTTCGTAAAACAGCTTAATGATATATATTTATCTAACTAAATTTTATTTTCCGTAAAAAAACTCTGTATATATTTTTAGTTAGATAAAAAAAATTACAAACCCTACTTCTAAATAACTACTGTTGAGACAAAAGAAAAGTAGCAATTAAGATAATTTAGAATTTTTATAAAAAAAATATGATTTCTTCACCTTTCCCTTGTTAGGGCGAAATAGAAGTTTTTTATGATGGGTCTCGATGATTTCTTTTCTTTCTTTGCCTTTTTAAATTTCATTCAAAGGATTGGAAAAGTTATTATTTTTATTCTTTTTTCTTCCCCTTATTTTTCTCTGCAAAATTAAAGAGAGTGATAAGAGTTTTAAATTCATGTTTGGATACTGTGAACTTAGCACCAAACATTTTTTTTTTTAATTTTTCGGTGAAAATATTTTTTTTAACCTTATGCATGAATCCAAAAAAATAAAACCTTATGCACATGATAAACTTTTTCACCACTAAACTGACCCAATAATTTTAAACACATGATAAGTATTTTAATATTTCACATAAAGTTAAAGGAATATATTTAAACACACACACACATACATACATACATACATATATATATATATATATATCACATTTAAAGGAGAACCGGTTTGATTGTATCTTCAATCAATATTCCAAATAGTTACTCATGTCAGAGTGGATTTTAAAGACTACATGAATTTGTTTAACAGTAATTAAGAACGGGTCGATTTTTATTTTGTTTTTGATAAATCTTGCTTTAAAAAATATTAACTCGGTGTCTAACAAAATGTTATTTTTAGTAAAAAAAAATTTTAAAGGTTATTTAAAATGTTATATAAATAAAGTGTTTTTTTTTTTTAATTTTAGTGTCTAGTATTATATTGTACGTAGTATTGTAAACTAAATAATAAATACAATTTTACTTGTTCAGCTGCTCAAATAAAAAAATGATCTATTTTAGAAAAGAAACATTATTATTGAGAATAAATTTGTAATGTGAGTAGCCATCCTCTTTATTTTCAAAGTGAAGAATCTTTCTTTCGATTCTTTTGCTAGCATTGAACTACATAATCATCTGAAGTATTATTATTCAGTGAGGGTTCCATAAGATCCTGTCTTAAAGCTCTGAATGGTATAAATGTTTAGTCTTCCATGAATGTAGCTGACGTGGTCTGATCGGAAAAGGATCATAATTTTCCTACCTAATCAGTTTATATAACTTGTCTTATGCATTTGTCATTTTCAATATCTGAAAGGAATCTAAACATTCCTATCTGGAACGAAGCTACTGCTTCCTAATCCTAACATGCTAAAGATGTTTGTTTGGCAAATTACACACAAAAAGGTTTAAAAATGACACCAGTTCCTCGCTACCCTTGTGCCAAAGCTATATATATCTCACGTTACATTTGTCCTCTCTATCATTAGAATCTATATTTGCAAAAATAAAATACAATCACAATTAGAATATTACAATTTCAACTCTTCATTTTTTGATCAAATGTTTATATGGTTGTATTTTATTCTGAGTCAATCTCATGTCCTGATTTATGTTTGAATACTTATTCTGGTCCTCAAAAATGTGAGTGTATCATTTAATTGGAAAAAAGAAACTAGAAAGTGATATCTCAATATAAATAACTGTTTTAAAAATTTCAGTGTTAAAGCAGCACCTGCTTCCTACAAAACAGAGACGTATACAAAATAAACTGTGAGATTATCAATATTAAAATTGTGATAGTCAACGTTCTTCGTAGATAAACTCATGTTAATTCGAATTAAAACGTGTAGTATGAATAGTTGATTGAATTGGTATTGTTTATTTGGATGTCATGATCAAACAGTGTAGTATAAATAGTTGATTAAGTTACTATTGTTTTACTTTTTCGTGTTTCTTGGTTGCCAAGCCTACAAACTTAATCCGTACGTAAACAAACGGTAAACTTTGACAAGGAAGCAAGTCTTCATTTCAGATCAGTTACGTAATTTTCTGTATGCTCTGCTGTTTGAAATTTCAGACACTTTACAAAGACATGCTAAAAGTTATATAGTATTATTTTGACACATTATATGTTCCCTTTACCCCGAATCGAATAGATTTTTATCTATATCTAAAACTTAAATTTAAAATTAATTGATGTATGTTAGATGTTTAATACACAAAATTTTAAACATTTGAAATGTAAAATTTTTAGAATTGGACATGTGTTTGGTTAACAAGTGAGTTATGAATTATTAATCTAATTTAATTTTATAAATTAGCCTTCACTTATAAATATGAGCTTTGTTACTAGTGATATAAGATATGGTGGCATATGTGTTGGTTGATATGCATTTTCAGCGTGGGTGTCACACACTAAACGCAGGCGTGACAATGATGCGGAGGCAAAACACGTTGATACACACGCTTACACATGTTGTGCACGGGTCACAGCTGAGGTACCAGATAATAAAATCAATAATATATTAATTATAATTTATTATTTAAACAAGAGAAGATGCAATGCAGAAATATCATTCTGATATGACGCACCTGAGAATTGACTCTAAGGTACTGCCAAATCAATTTTATTCTTAGTTTTAAAAATTCAACTCATTATATTGGGTTAGTAGTTTAAAAGTTAAATCCGTGAATTATTAATTAAATCACATGATTTATTTTTTATTATTTTTTAAAAATATTCATGTTAAATATATTTTATATTTATAAATTTTAATAAATTTATATTTTATCTTAAATTTTAATTTTTATCTTATTTAAAATTATCTTTATTTTTATTTTAGGTAAAGAAATACATAAATTTTTATTTTGTATAAAGAAATGTATGAAAAAGTTACATGTTAAATTTTATATTAATATAAATTAAAAATATAAATAATATATATATATATAATATACTTGTAATTGATATCATTAAATAATATATGTAATATTTATATAGATATTATATTATTAAATATATAGTTTAAAATTAATAATATACTATAAAAGTTATTTAAGTTGTATATATTACAAACAAATACATTAGAACAAGTAGTCATTGTTATTGTTATGTTTGATAAGAGCAACTCCAATGAGAGTTGCTTGTCCAATGAAGCAACTCAAGTCTCGGTTTCTTACTATCGGAGAATTCTGACGCGGTAACATAAGTTGCTTGAAGAAGAGAGAGAGTTGTTTCCTCAAGCAACCGTTTCTTACCAGATTTCAAGCAGATCTTATTGAACATATTCGGAAACGTTTCAAAAATAATAATGATGAAAATTAATTTCGTATAATGTTTATGTATTTACTATTGCTTTATTTTATTTTTAATATCTACTTATTGTGTATTTTTTCTTGTACTTTATTTTCTTTCATCGTAGTGCAATTATCTTTTTTAATAAAAATTTAAATTTGATTCATAAATGATTAGAAAAAAAATTCTAAAAGTTAAATTTCTTAAAATTTCTTACCATTGGAGTAAATTTGTGTTTGAATTGCTTAATGCTGACATAGCACACTAAAGACTATTTTTTTCATTTTTTAATGCATGAAGCAACTCAAATGAGTTGCTTGCATTGAAGATGTCCTAAAGTTTTTTGCTCTTCCATAAGTAAGGACAAATTAAATGCATAACGAATCTAACTCAAAGCTTAGACTAACTAGACCATTGGTTCTACCGTTCTGATTTTTAAAACTCTGATTTTATTCATTCTATGCTAATTGGCCCGCTAATTAGGTTTTTTTTTATAATAAAGTTAATTAAGATTCTCACCTAGCCTTAGCAACATGGATCAAATCTCTCCAAGTAGGAATTTGAGTTAATTTGCTCTATGATTTTGTTTGAACGAGTGTTTCACATGCCCTCATTTTGGAATTACATCTCATTTACACCTAAATACGTATCAGATGTACATTTCAAAATTATACAATGTCATATATGATAAAAAAATAAAAAATAAAAACAAAAAACAAAGAAATGTGTGAAGTGAATGTATACAAAAGTATGAAAAATGAGGATTTGTTTTCCAAGCTGATTTAGGATGTGTTTTCTTGTTAAGTTATAGCTTTTATGTAATGTTCTCAAAATTGAAACATGAAGGTATTAATTTATAGTTATTGGCTTATGTAGTTTTTTCTCTCTCTTTACAGATGGTTTAAATATGGTTAAATCGTGATTTAATCCATTTCAATTCTTTAAACCGAATTAAAAATTAAAAACAGAACAAATTGTTAACTATTTTTTTAAATCAACTTTTTTTTTTTATTATTTAGGTCACATTATTTTTTTATTCTTATGTTTAAGGTTGAATCAAACCGAACTGAACAGCAAGAATAATAAATTTGTATATGTTTTTTCTATTCAACCCTTAAATAAACATGTTATTATTTTAATTTAAGATTTGTGTAATTTGGACCAAATTGTGATTTATTGTGAGATTTGCTTCTTTATATATATATATATATATATATATATATATAT